AAAAGGTTGAGCAAATTTTGGGGTACAATAGATAGGAAATTAATTAATTTTAAAAAGCTAACACAACTTTTGAGCTTAGCTCATAGGAGTCAGGAAATGTTATCTCGTCGAGTACACTTTCAAAATAAACCCTGCTTCAATTAGGTCTTTTGAGGGTATTATTGTGGCTTGGTTCACGACTTAAGAAGAAAGGATATAAGGCTCAAAGTTTATTTGTACCCACTCATTCTTTGTGATTTTTTATAATCCTACCTTCAGTTAACCTGACATGAGCACTCATCTCTAAAAAGGAGTTTTTATATGGTTGAGAAACCACTGAGGCTTTGGACATGGCAATCACTCACCTTTTTGCTTTTGGTGTTTGATCACACGGCTTTGTTATTTATTGAGGATTTTTCTTGGTGATCCTTTATTTTTGCTTTTCATGTTTCCTTTTTTTATTATTTTGTTTTTATTCCCTAACTTTTTCCTGGACAGAGTCTTTAGATTTGACTTTGAAGTCCAGCGAGATACCTCAATTTTGCCTAAGTCTCCTTCATAGGTTTTGACTTAGCGGGCTTTTTCTTTTTCATTTTTTTTATTTATGAACAAGTCGTGTGATTCTAAGTTATTTTGACCCTTTTGAAAGGATTATGACTGCCTTACTCTTTAGATAGTCGAGGGATAATCATTGTGGTTTTTTTGACTTCCAGCCTCCTAATATGTAAGGAATAGATAAAGTGGATTCTCGAATGTTCACTCCTCCTTTTTGAGAGTCTGGTAACTCGATTAGTTTAACTGAAAACTACCCTGCCCCAGGTAAAAATTGAGGGTTTTTTGTATGTAAGGAAAAGAAAACTCCTACTTCAAGGCTCAAAGGGGTTAACAAGGGTCTATCTCTCTTATATATCTAGTGTTTGAGGATTTGAAACAATTCCTTACATCATCATCTGAGTTTGATTCAAAAGCATACGACCAGAGATCTTGCATTATTGATTTTGTCATCCTCCTCCCAATTCTCCATCAAAGTAAGAAATTGGGTAAAGTTGGCATTATAAAACATAAAAAAGCATTTTATGAGTGAATATCAATGGATTTCTTCAAGACAAACATATTTATTGCATTAACCATTCAAAACAAACAAGTTCTTACATATAAATCATGCTTTTATAATCAAAGAAAAATAACAAATGCAAGCAAACAAACAAACAACCTGATGATCTTGGGAATGAGTTCTCCTCTTGATTTCACCGACTTGAAAGGACTCTCTTGAGTCTTCATATCCATCAGCATAAAGGTGTTCCATTCACAGCTCGGCTTCCTCCCTTGAAAGTCAACGCCTCATCATCAATCATCAGTTGTACTTTTTTTGGAAAACCCTGCACTCTTCAATCGAATGCCCCATTACTTCATCATGAAATGCACAACTAGTATATGGATTGAACCAAAAAGGGTGTTATTTCATGGATCTGGTCTTTCTTGGTGCCATTGCCGAGTCTCGGATGAAATAGGACCTTAATTGACGGTAAGTCATTAGGATTGGATCAAACTTCTTTTGATAATGACTCTGATGTGTTCTCTGATGAAACCGTGACTGAAAATTCAGAATGATCTGAGTGGAAGGAGTAACACCAACAGGAACTTTCTTACCACCTTCCAGCATGGTAGCATCGTATCCACAAGGCACATGAGAAGACTTTTTATTGTTGCAAGTAATCACCACTGGCTCTGGAATATTAAAATGCGAAATTATGACATTCACCCTTACTCTAGCGATATGAAACAGTTTCTGATCCAACATATCTTAGAGATCCCTCTTCACCACAGAACATCCACGAGGAGTTTTTGAACAAATTTTGCAAGAACCGTGATTATGCTCATAATGGGTAAGCCTACATAAATTGACGTGCATATCTACTGAAGATCCTCTCATTGAATTCACGTAGAGATACAGTATTCTCCAAGATATCCTTCCTCAGTGTTTCCATACTTGGGTAACAAACTTGTTGAGACATTGGGTCCAGAATCTTCAAAAGACAAAATATCGCTTTGCACTAACTTTTGTATTTTGGCCTTCAAAGCAAAACAATGTTCAATATCATGACTGGGTGCCCCTTGATGAAATGGAAAAAAATGATCATACTTAAACCATAATGGTAGATTCTTTGGGATGGCCGGTGGACTCTTTGTTTTCCCTAAATTCTTTTGTACCGAAGCACGATTCAGAATAAGCCATTGGGATCGGGTTAAACTGATCCACGTGTTGTTTACTTTTGTTACGATATCCTCCATGTTTCTCTTGCGAAATAGCATTAGCAACTTGTTCCTTCTCCTTGGGTAAACCTTCCACAAGCTTCTTATAGTTTTTATAAGTGCTAATGAGAGTCATAGGAATGGGCATTGACATGATTTTAGAAATCACGGTCCTTTGAAGCATAGTCTAAGAAATATGAGGAGAAGGTTGATTTTGAGTAGCAACCAGAGTTTCAACCAAAGTAGAGAGCCTTTTCACACCAGTCCTCAAAGTAGTCACCTCCTTATGAAGTTCATGGTTTTCTTCCTCAATATTATTTATCTTCTTTCTTTGATTGGCCAGAGTATCATATGATGAATTAACTCATCTCCTCTGAAGGAAGAAGCAAGAATGAGAACCTGGGATGCAGAGAATGCGGTGCTATAAATGCAGATGCAAATGAGTTTCAAGGAACTCCAAAGTTATGTTTACAAATACCACAAAGTGGAAAATACTTTAGATAATTGAAAATCTCATTTTATTGAAAATAGAGTATAATTTCCAAAATCCATGGTAAAATCTATGATGTTTGTAAACAAAAGCTTTGAATTCCATGAAACTTTTATGAACATGATGTTTATGAGTGCATGTATGCTCAAACACAGGTATGCACAGATCCACATATGCACAAATATACATTCATGCAAATAGAAAAACTAGGTTTGAAAATCAACGAGCATGAAGTAAAGGGTCTACTCATCCCAAATAGTGTGAACTAATGGTTTATTGTACCTGCAGAACAAAGGTTCTAAAAGTTCCCAAAGTCATCAGTCCATCTTTCAGATATTATCAACTTCCCAAATACTCGATAGTTAATAATATTCTCTTGAATGTAGTATCGCGTATCAACTATTTTGGGACTACTCCCACATAGTCATCGCACTACGTCCTAAGAAAGTCAAGTTGAGTTAAAGGGTAACTAAAGGTTCCCAATGTGTCATACCCCAAATTTGTCCTACCTATATAATTTTCATCTGTACTTCCATCCACCAACCATATTCAGAAGATAAAAAATATATGTTGAAGTTGCTTTCATCTTTCTTGTTGCCTAAGTCCAAGATTCATGTTAGGATAACAAGTCAGAAGTAGGTGTAGAGCTTCATCTAGTCTTGAACTAATCTAAGTAAGGAAAGAGTGTGTTTCAAGATCAAGTTCTCAAGATGTGTCAGGTTATTAGGTGCTTCATGGTTAAAGAATGTCAGGGCCAGTTCACTGTTAATTAGAGTTTTTGTTCAATAGCAGCACAATTCATATCTCAAGTCATGTGTATCATCGACTATTTTAAAGACAAGTGTGAGTTAAAACTCATGTGTTTAAGGATCCACATTAGGGTTTTATGCAGGTTTAGGTTATTAAATAAAATCAAGATGCAGAGTATCCAAGTTCAATGTATTTCAAGATGTTACAAGTCCTCTTCAAGTTTTAATTCCAAATTCATGGCCAACTTCACATTATATCCACTTTCTATCTAATTCAAGCTTCAATTATATTTCTATTCAATTCAAATTCATTCCCACTTCAATTCTTTTCCAAATTTCAATTTCAATTCAACTAGTCCATTTTTTTCCAATATCTAATTCATGTTACCAATTTCTAAGTTCAATACCCACTTTTTGATCCATGTCCATTATTCAATCCATTTTCATTATCCATATTCATTTTCAATTATCCAATAATCCAATATCCATTTCTTAGAATTATTAACCATTTTTTTCGAAATACCAAAACCCATTAATTCTTTTTAATTACAAAATACAAGATACCCATTGTCATTCTTATACCAAGCCCATACAAATTCCGTGTCAAATTTTCAAGCATTGTTTCAAATTTAATTTTCATGTATAATTCAAGATCATTACAAGAATTCAAAGCTCAATTCCAAAATTTCATAAAGTCTATTCAAAAATAAACAAACAAAGGCCATAAAGCCCAAACCATGAACAACTATTACACATAAACCTATGATATTACAGACACTTTCAGCTAAGCCTACACGACACAATCCCAACCATTATTCACAACACACAAGATTTTCATCCCAGCCATTATTTGCATTTGTGCCACGCACCAACAATCCTTCAAATCTGCAGCAATAAAACCATAACCAAGTCACAACATTAATTACACATAGTAGCCAAAAGCAACAGAATCCACACATACAACACTCACTTCAAAGCGATGTACACAACGTCCTACCACCTGTGCAAATCCTTACCACTAATACACCCAATTCCAAAAGCCGCAACGTAATAACGAACAATTCTTCAACAAACTTTCTAGCCATCACTATACAATCACCATGACTCATGCTTAACATACCACAAACCAAAAAAACCATTCTGCAAAATAACAAAAAAACTTACAGTTCGTACAACCATCAAGCAAAAAAAAAAAACCCTTCACGCGGTACCCATAATTCACGCACGCAGATTCGCAATTTGCACACAACGCCTGACCTGTAAAATGCAGTAATGATTTCTAAATCAACCCTCACATTCCTTCTATAAATAAACAACATTATTCACACAATCGAGGGTACTAAAAGGACGTTACAAATTCCTTTCACAACACCTTTCTCCAAATACCCTCAAAACTCACTCTACATAAATTCACCCACACACCTCCTTTAACCTTCATCACTTCTCACTCACAAATTCTTTCATCAATCTCCTTCGCCAAATACAATTCATTCAACCTTCGACAACCATAACCCTTCAACAACTCTCCCTTAAACATCAATTCCGCCATTCAACAACCTGAAAATCATAACTCAACCAAAGCCAACAGAAGAACATAGAGAGTTTAAGACGAGAAGAAATCGAAATCGAGTAAAATAGTGGAAACCAAAACAAATCCGGACAAACACGATACGAACCTGAAGCGAGCCAATTTGAACTGAGCGAAGCAAAATGTGGTGAGATCGAACAAGATCGAGATGAGAAAAAGAATAAGATTAGACCGTGTTGCTCTCCTTTTGTGTTGATCCATTTTCACCATAGCTCGTTCCGTTTCGCTTCTAAGAAGATGATTTGTGTCATTTGCGGCATTGAGATGTGTTGTTAACAGTGTCTCCATCTTTATTTCATTTGTTTGAGTTTGTTTTATTGCGATTTTGTTTTGAAAATGTGTTGTGGTCTTGATTTTATTTGTTTTTACAGATGGTATGTTGCTTTCATCCTCCACCGCCCTTGTTCCTTTCTGGTGGCTTTTAAACCCATGTTACTCTTGATCCACCCTTCTTTTATTTTTGAACTGTGCTATCTTTTTATGAGGGACGATGGACTTACCTTAAGCCCACATGATTCCCTCCTCTCTTTGTTTACACACCAATTCACTACTGCACCCCTATTACTTTTAATTAATTTTGCTTTTAATTAGATTTTGGATAATTAGATTTGGGTTTTGGATTACTTTGGTTTTTGATATTTGATTTTGATAATTTGAGTTTTGGTTAATTGGAGTTAGCTTTTAATTAATTAGATTTTTAATAAATTTTGATTTTTGTTTAGATGATAAGCTTGTTTTTTTTATAATTGTTAATTAGATAAATCTTTGGTTAATTCTTGTTAAGCTCTTGATTAAATGGCCTTAGTAAGATTTAATTGAGATTTTACTAATGGTTATTTGACCTTTTTTTTTGTTGCTAATTGTTGATTTGATTTCATTCCATTTCGATTTTCTTCTCATTTCGATTTTATTTCAATTTTTGGTCCATGAAGTTTTTAGAATCGCGAATGACGATTATTGAGGTTGTTTAACCTTCATTATTTCAAATATGTATTAAATGATCATCAAGATCATTTTCTATACTTTGGGATCGTGATAGGTTACCCTCGATTAATCAATGAAGGTTTGTGATTAAGACGATACCGTTTCCTTTCCTTTTCGTGTGGCACGATTTCTTTGGAGAATGATCCTCAATATCATTTCTCCATCGTGTTTTAGCACATATATCATAATTACGTGGCCTCCTATAGTGTGATCTTCGTCATAGATCGTGCTATGACGGTTTAACGCTACATTCAACCCAATTCAAAATAATAACGGCTAACAACTAACTTTAATTTCAATCAATATATTCTTGATTTACTTTCAATCAATATATCTTGATCTTATTATCATTGTTCGTATACTATTGTGAATATTACCTTGATTATATTATTATTGGTATTATCTTGACATATTTATCATCTTGTTCATACCATGTTCATATTGTTCATATCATATTCATACTATTCAAAAACACACTAATAAGATCGAAACCCTAAAAGCCTAAATTGGTGGACTGTGGTTACTTTTCGAAGCAATGGAACTCAGACTATGTACATAAACCCTAGCTTGGATATTTTTGTCTAAATAGTCGCTCATGGCTTAGTTTAGGACACCTTGCACACACACGGCTTCCTCTTGGGCTACTTGACAATGATACTTTTTATTTCTCGCAATCCTGTGTAACTTACATGTACCTCGCTCCCATTTTGATGTACGCACTTTACTCGTTTGTATAGATTATGCTTTGATGCTTTAAACCATTTTAAAACTAAATTATTGATCAAATGTCGAGCCATTTTCCACCCTTGTAAGTCGATTGCTTTCAAAGCATCGCCATTAACCTCTTGGTCACAATACACAACATTCAAAGCTTACTCCTGGGATTTCTTACAGTGAGACCTATTCAATCAATTACTTTTAGTTGGTCGTTTAGAAGACTAGCCCACTTTGCTAGTATACACGATTAAAAATCAATTTAATTGCTAGTATAAACCATACCCACTTGTAAGTCGAGTGCTTTCGCCTCGCCATCAACCTTACCTTATAACACTAGGACCTCCTTCTTTTAGTTCAAACTTCTAATCATTTCATACGCAAATTCAAACCTCGATTCACATCGAATAATTTCTTCAAATCAAATCAAAATACTTAAACACAATTTCAATAAGAGACGAAAAGGGAGTTGGAATGGAGTCTTCGATTCCACTCCTCAATTTTTTGGGCCCGAGGAGCCTTTCTTAAGCTCGAACAATTGTCTTCTAGTCCGATAAACAAAATCAAGACCTATATTCTGAGTACTTAGATGAAAAAGAGATAAAGTCAAGCCATTGACTCACTCTCCCGATTACTTGAGCCCGAGAAGCCTTTCTTAAGCTTCGAGTAATAGTAATTCATAAACTATTTTAACTATATCAAGGGTCTTTCATAATTAAGGTTGAAAAAGAGAGAGAGTCAAGCCTTTGAATCGCTTCCCCGATTATTTGGGCCCGAGAAGCCTTTCTTAAGCTTCAGGTAATCATCACCTCTAGCTAAACATCCAATACGTCAAATTCTCTTTTCTCGCTCCCGTGCAATTGAAACTTCCCAAGACACTATTTCCTCGCCCCCGTGAGATCTATAACTCAAACAACTTTTCCCAAAGAATATTGTTTAGTCTCTTCTTCCGTGCATATGAACTAGTGCTTCAGCCTCCCCTAGCGAGCAGAAAAGCCCATGTTTAGCAGTTAGAATGTGACCTAAACACTCGTTTGTTTATAAACTAACCAACCGTAGTTTCCCGAACTACGGACGCTCTGATTTCTCATTTGTCAATGAGAATACGTAGGCATAGGATTGCGAGATCCTAGCGAGCTACCTTTCCTCCATCTTCCGTTTAACCTAAACCTGTTACCGTAGTATCACGAACTACGATGCTCTGAATTTTTCATTGCACGGGGGAATACGTAGGCACAAGGGAGTACGTAGGCAGATGATGGCTTCTCCTTCTCGAACTTCTTCGCTTCTTAGGTGTCTTGTCGAGGAGCCTCTCTTCTCTTGGTATACTGCTTCAGGTGCCCATTTCTGATGAGGATTTCAATCGTATCCTTGAGGTGGATACACTCTTCAGTAACATGTTCGTAGCTCTTATGGAAACGGCCGTACTTAGTCTTGTCTACGGTAGGCTTGAGAGGTGTCATCTTGGGAAAACGAACTCCAGCCTGGAAGAATTCTGAGTTTGCGCACTCAGATAGAATACGGTTGTAAGAGACGGTCAATGTTGTGTACTCAGAAAAACGGCCACCAGATCCTTTAAACTCCTGAGACTCACGAGTCTTATCCTCTTTCTTCTTCTCCCCTCCTCGGCGAGGAGCCATGGGGTCATCGTGCCTTGAAACTCTAGCGTTTTTTAAATGTCGTGGATCTCGAGAATTGTTGATAGCTTCTTTCTCCTCATACTGAATATAGTCCTGGACCTTGAGGAGGAGGGCAACTAGCGATGCAGACGTTTCGATTTCGACGACCTTGGCGAATTCACTGCGGGGGCACAGTCCCCACTCGAGAAAATACTTCTTCATGTCATCGGTCATGGAGACCTGGACAAATTCTCAATTGAACCTCTCAATGTAAGCTCAGAAGGATTCCTCTTTCCCCTGCATGATTGCCTCGAGCATCGCCTTTGACTTTGCATGGCGACGATAAGCGGTAAAGTGCCTCAAAAAGTGCCTTCCTAGGTCCCTCCAAGAAGTGATGAACTCTTTAGCGAGGCTCTTGTACCATGTCATGGCAGCTTTCCTCAAGGTTGTGGGTAACAATCTTCACTTGATGGCGCCTCTGACGCTGCAATAATTGAGTAGTGCCTCAATGTTTTCAATGTGTTCGTAGGATATGTTGTTCCATCGTATGTCCCCAAGTTCGAGGGTTTTTCCAGCTCGACGGGAAGGGAGCGTCCATGATGTTCGAGATAGTAGACCGCGGGAGTCGTCTTTGTCACTCTGAAGTGATGAGTGTGGAGGAAAGTAGTCTTCCTTCTCCCACTGAAGGGTGTCACTGCAGCGTCGCAGCGAGTCCTTCGGCCTTTTAATTTGCGCGAGGGCGAACATTGGTTGTCTGGCCATTCGCTGACTTTTCTCTTCTTGGTAAACAAGGAGTGTTGATCCACACGGGAAAGGAGTACGGTTACACTTCAAGGGTTATGGCCTCTCCAGCTGCGGGCGACCGCCTGGTCGTTGTGGTGACGGGTTTCGGAACTCGTATCGTTGGTGTCTCTGCAGGGGAGAGTGTGGATGATAGTCTTTCTCTAATGCTTTGATCCTCTCCTTTTGTTGGTAGATTAGTACATTGGTATGGCTAAGGGCTGGAACCAGAGACGCCATGGCCGGGTCGGTGTTGGGTGGCACTTGGATTTGTTTGGAATTTCTCCGGCGTCTTCTCCGGGGCTTTTTGGACTTTGTGGCTCTCGACGTCATTATCGGCCGCATCGTCGGAGTATGGAGATATGGCGCGCCCTTCTCTCATCGTTGGAGTATCTTCCTCCAAAATTGGCATATCGTTGTTGTTGTCAACGTCTTGGATGGAAGAGAGGATGTTTACGTGACCACTGTTGTCGTCATGCTGACAGGTCATGATTGGTTTTTGAAGTTTTTTTTATCTCTTGGTTTCAAGAAGAAAATGGGGAAACAAGTTTTCCACAGACGACGCCACTGATCTAACCTGTCGATCAGAGTAGGTGGCCAGTAACACGTCCGCAGTCTTGATGGTCGACGGAAACGCGGGGGGGGGGGGGGGGGGTACTTGCAAAAAATCTGATGCTTAAGTCAGTTCGAGTGAAGAGTTGAGGAAGAAAGGATAAAGGATTGAATACCTGGCCCTCATACAGAGGAGAGTTTTTATAGTGAGCCCCCAGTGCTGGGCCAATGGTCTATGTTATGGGCTAATTGTCCAAGCCCACAACGAATGACTGTCAGGATTTCTACATAGATGCAGGGATGAGCAACTCGTGCTCATTGTCCTGGGTTAAACGCTCTGCATTCTGATGGGCGATTCACAAGTGCACGAATAGCGTCAGAGTAATATAAAAGATTATCGATCCCACAGAGACCAATCGTCAATCTATCATTTACAGACTCGATTAGACAGTGTGGTAACCCCTTGATGTGAGAAGTTTATCACTTTACAATAGGTGTAATTTATGGCTTGAGTTCTGTAACTAAGCTTGAATAATTAGAAATGAAACATAACTCCTCTATTTATAGTGGTAGGAAAGTATAGGTAAGGACAAGAATGCCCCCTAACACCTTTTGGGAGGGAAATGAGTTTGTGAAGGT